TATATATATATATTATATATATATATATATATATATATATATATATATATATATATATATATATATACATGAAAAAACAGATTTTTTTGTAATGAAGAAAGTGTAAAATACAAAATGCAAATTTAAGAAGCCGATTTTATATATAAAAATATATTGTTAATTTATTTAAGATCTGTATAATACTACACAAAATACATTTAGACATAAAATACATTTACAAACGAAAATTTCGTAATGAAAATTGAAAAGAGAAAAAAACAGCAAAAAAATAAAAATAAAAAATGAGAAAAAATAAAACCAAACAAAAGAAAACAAAATTAGTTTGATAGCATTACAAACAGCAATTGCGTATAAATTATTTGAAGGAAATTCAATATAATCATTTTTACTGTAAATTAAGTATTTTGCATAAATTTTAAGTGCGAATTTTGAATAATAAGAGTAGAGTTTTTAGCCTTAACATTTGGTTTAACTGATGTACATTAAATATGTTAATTATTTACTAAAAGAAAACAGAAAAAATGGGCGAATCTTAATAACACTTCCGTCTGTAAAATAAATTAAAACAAATTGGATTCGTTAGATTCTTTACCACAGTAAAAAGAAAAACGAAAAACAAATAAAACGAAATAAAATTAAAAATATTTAATGTGTTTTCCTGCTTGATATGGGAATTTTCTTTAAGGGAATGTTTGTCATATTAATTATGATTAGCAAATGGCAATTGGCCAATCTCTTATTTCCATAAGGCAATAATTGATATTAGCTCATCCGAGAATAGCAACAGATGCGATAAAGTGAGCAAAGTGCAGTGCCTAGCTGGTCATTGTCATGTAAAACTTATCGCCAGTGTGTAGTTAGGGTCAGAACGAATGGCATAGAGATATAGCTGTGGAATTGTAGAGCTTTTATAGAACTATATGCTTTAGTTTGAGATAAGAGGCCAAAGACTGGGATTACGAAAAGAGTATTGACATATGCTTTATTGCTTGTTCCTTTTAAAGCCCGCGGGGCGTGACAATATAGAATATATAAAAAATTAAATCGTACAATATATGCAAGAGTGACTACATATATATATTTGAGAGTTTACATTTCGACATAGGTGGGCATGGTCATGACGCCGCAGTTGTTTTTGCGCGCAGACATCAAAATGTAGCCATCGTTGCCCCAGTAAGTGGACCATGAGTTCTTCACCAGCCAGTAATCCTCGCCGTTGATGGTACCATAGCCAACGGCCAATACGGCATGATCGAGGCCATCCACATCGTTCTTGCACTCCGGTTCGTAGTAGACGCCATTCGAGTAGAAGCTAAAGGTCTTGGGCGAGGCGTCAATGGCCACTGACAATGGGCCGTGTTTAAGCATTGCCAATTTGAAGGCATTAGGATCGTTACTAGTGACATTGACAAAGCCCTTGATCGGAGCGACAAGCGTCACGTTATTCACGTGGCAGTAACCGTCCTGACCCAAATAGGGACCATATTCCTCCTCTGTGGGCACGCCGCCGACTTGCATCATCCATTGGTAGACGCGGAAGTCCTCGCCACCATCACAGCCATTGTTGCCGTAGCCCCAGGAGCAGTCGATCAACGCCTGCTGCGAGAGACGAACCAAATTACCACCGTTCTTGAGGAAGAACGCGCCTTCCAGATGACCCACGGTTCCAAAAGACCAGCACGAGCCGCACACCGATTGATCTGTGAACCAAGAAGATATTGTCATAGAAATTAACGCTATGTTAGAGGCACTCACCCTTCACGGGACTGACAGCCCCAAAGAGACGCCAATCGTATTGCGAGGGTATTTCATCCTTGAACTTTTCCACATCATAGGGAAAAGGTTTGCCCGAGTTGTAGCCGCCAGATGACTTGTAGCCACGACGTGCCTTCATCTCCTCTTCCGTCTTATCGGCCAGGTGATTGACGGCCAGTTTGTAGGTGAGCTTGGCACGATTCTTGGAATGGATGTATCGCAAGTTCTGTCGGAAAATATTCTTCCGATGCTCATGCTCCTTCTCGGTACTGTAGTCGATGGCATGCTTGCGCTTGAAGTGATGGAAAGCCTTTTCCACATGCTCATCGCTGCCGGAGATGAACTCATGCATCGGATTGAAGGTGGCAAAGTGACCCGGGCCGGGGAAGCCAGTGCAGGTAAGGCTCTCATCAATCTCAAACACTTCATTGGGTATATCGTCGTGCTCATAGCTATCATAGTCCAAATAATAATGATCATAATGGGAACCCAAGAGGGTATTGTAGCCGCGCATCTCGTAACGCACTGGAATGGGCATTCGACTACTCGGATAATGCGGCGACTTCTTGTAGCGCACCCACAGTGTGTAAACATTTTTCTTCTGGCCAATTGTCTGCTCCAAGCGGAACTTGTCGCACGTATAGCCGAGGAAAGATTCAGTGCCAATCAGAGTAAATGGCTTCGCGTCGGGCAATATACTTTGGATTTCCACTACCTGGTCGGCGGTTCCATTAACCTGAAGGCAGCTCAGTTTATTTAGTTCCTCCTTTGTGGAAATGGGCGCCAGTTTCAGTGCGGTGCCATATTGACCCTCGCCGGCCAGTTGATAAGTCTTTACCATGCCGCCATAGTAATCAATGCGAGAGCGTTTCGTGTTCTTGTCATACCAGGCGTAAAAGGGTTCTGCTATCTCAGCATAGGGTATATAGAGAGTGCCTTTCACTATGTAATTAGGATCCCAACGAGGCGGCTTTGTGGCTTGAGCTGAAAATATGTATGGAAAAAAATAACAAACGGCATTTTAGCAAACTATAGCGGTACCTGCAGCCATTGCTACACATACACACACATGAAATTGAGCTCACGCCACGCTTTTGTTACACACGTACATATATAACACACGCACTAACCCACACACCTAAAACACAAATATCAAGTGAAAAAGCCGCATAGATGATTTAAATTCAATCTTCGTTTGCTGCTTTTACACTTTGAGTTTATGAGTGTTACTTACCTGCCAGTGCAAAGCACGCCAGCAATGCTAAAGTTAACCACGAACGCATTTTGTTTTAATTTTTCACTGTCTATTCAATCTATTATTTCGCCTGCAGTCTACCTAAAATTAAATTGCACTTGCGTTAAAAGACAAACACCTATTGAACTGCTGCTATGGCGCATCAAACGACGAAAGCTAGCATGAGCAAAGAGAGAGTAGAGAGAGAGAATGAGTGAGATAGTCGACTTGCGCTGTTAAAACTAACAGCTGTTAACTTTAGAATTTGATCGTATTCTTTGTGTGACCAGCCCAGCTAATTGACAGAGTGTCCGAGAGAGACAGCTTGCACAGCTTAAGATAAGCGCTGTTAAAAGCTGAACTTATCACATTAACATAGAAGCGTGTGACCAAAAATAACAAACTATTAAATACCAATACTTATTTTCATCAATTGGCGCGAGATTTGAAACCAAGTAAGGATAATAGAGAACAGCTGTTTGTTGTGGTTTTGTAATATGTTACTCTCAGTTATCTAGGCGCACTCTCACTGCTAGCTGGTCTCTTCGATGCGAGCTTTAAAAGCCTCGCTGCCCAGGACCCGAACAGATGCCAAGCAACCACCAAGCAAGCAGCATTGCCACTTAGACTAAAACGTCCGTGAAGTGAGTGACAGTGTGTAACACAACAACACGAGTGAAAAGTGCACAACTATATAAAAGCACACACACATATACATGTCTCTATAGTACTTATTTGCCGTATCCCAAAAAGAGTGCTGTATAAATGTTTTAGTGCGATTAGCCGACGTGCAAGACGTGGAAGTGTGCACTGTGAATAAAAGTACATACAAATATATGTACCCACTCGCAATGAATTAAGTACCCGTACAAGTGCGTGTAGCGAAAACAATTCCATTACGCTTTGACGGCATTTTATTTTTTGAAATTAAAATGTGTAAATAAGAAAATTCCCCAATCAAAAGTTGTGAAAATTATATGAAATTCATAAATAACGAACGAACGTAACAAACAATAAAATGCGAGTTTTCAACGCTTTGCTTGGTAAGCATATCTATTGTTGTTGTTTATCTCAATTGTGTATATCTGTTACATACACGCAAATATGTATTTATATTCTAAACTGTGTTTCGGCGTCTTTGACATTATCTGCCCTTACCTTAGTTAGCTGTTATGATTCGAGCGAAAATTCAAATTGACCTAAAAATATTTCATAGTAAATTATGTAAAACTAGTTGAGTTGTAATTAAGGGTGTTTCGTTTTTGAATAGAGGATAAGAAGAGTACAGTTAGTTAAGTCCCTCGCTAAAATCTGACAGCAAAATATTCCAAGAAATATGATTTTATTATTATAATCATAATTATTTTTTAGCACACAATATTTCATTTCAAACAAAAGCCTACATTAAAAACTCCAGAGGAAAGCCTTTGACAAGCGCATTTGAAAGGAAATTATTTTACGTATGCAGCCATATACACACATACATAGGTATATATGTATATGCTTCTATGTCTGTGTGTGTGTGCTATGATGTTTCGCTGTGTGTAACCTACATTTTAAACGACATCTACATATATACATATGCACACACTCACACCAACAGCCTCACTCGTCCTACAAGTCAAATCCGTGACCGACGTAGTCGTTGTCGTAGGCGCTGTATTGAAGGAGGCGAGGTTCAAGCTATGACGGCGGCACATGTAAATTTGCTTTTATCAGTGCCTGAAAACGAACACACACTTGTACTCACACACACGTACAAAACATGCATGCTTCACGAAATCTTATATACCGTTTGCCCAGCTCTGCTCTCGACGGGCACGACGCGCACTCTCGTGAGAGTTGCCAAATACGAAGTAACTTCGTTGCGTCGTTCGTTCGCTCACTCGCCCTCTCGCCATTTCATACTCACATACACACACACATCTACAACCAATTAAACGCGTGTTATGGGCGCGCGTTGTCCACTAAAGGCAAAGTGGCCTGCCCTTCCTCTCCTTCTCTACATTTCTCATCATTGCCTTGGCTAACCTGCTTATTGTTGTGCGTGCTGCATTCGCAATTTCCGTTTTTCCACGCGGTTAGAATTTCCACGTAAAACGTTTTGGATTATGGACTTTTTTCTTTAATGGTCTGCAAGAGCGTACAAATAAATTGCATATGAGCCATTTATTTTGTTGCGATTCAATTCAACTTAAATTGCATTTACCACTCGCCCACAGCCGTGCATAATATATCATAATTAAATTATTATCATTTATATAATATACGAAGATTTATGACGACGGCGACGGAGCAATAAAATGTCACATAAAATATAAAACTTGGCGCCATAAAAAGAGTTTCTTGTATAAATTAAATCGCATGGGCAAAATGTTATATAAATGCCTATGATTATTAATTTGAAATAATTAAAAACATTTTTTCCATCTTGATTTTTTTGTTAGATTGAGTGTAAAATAGAATAGGTGAACAATTAAATAATTTAAATTAATTATAGTAATCGTAATGGATGATTGGATTGGGCTCTTAAGTGTCATAAAATTAAATATTTAGCAATAGAGAATAACATTAATTGATCACTTTATTTAGCAAGAAATATTATAAATTATTAACAAAATTTCATATCACCAAATATCAAATTAAATATGTACATATGTAATTGAAAAGTATTAATTCCCTAAAAACATTCATCATACAAGATATTCTATTGAGATTATAAAATCCAAATTTGTCATAAAATGACAAGATAAAACTGTTGTAGCCTTATTTTCAAAATTCATCCATAAATACAAACAAGCAGTTATCCTATTCAATTAAAGAAAGTTTCTTGTAAGGATTCATCAACAATATGAATTGATGTTTCATGTGATCAATCACTCGAAATTTATCATGTATTACTTCAATAGAAAATAAATATTAATTTGATATAAAAAGCATAAATCAAGTCAGGACCTACACACAGCTTTTCTACCCACGCCAAAGAAATGTGTAATTTAATCAGAAATCCACTTCAGGCTCGCCATGTCACTAAACACACGCACACAGCACGCACACATTCACAGCCCACTTGCTATAGACGGCTATTTTTATGGCATTCGTTCATTGTTTAGAGAACATTATTGCATTTTGCTCTTAAGGCATCAGCCACAGATATTAACATTGACTGAGAGGTAGTTTTTTGTTTTGTTTTGTTTTTGTTTTTTGCAAGCGTTGCGGAAATAGAGAACGGAGAGCCGAGAACGAAAAGGAAGCGGAGCATCCACTAAAACGATGATTCAGATTGTTGCCACACTTTGGCTGGCCCACTAAGCTGCCTCAGCGGGTGGCAGCGAGTGTTGCGGCAGTTGAAGTGTCTATGCAATTGCTGAATGCTTTGGCTGGTGTGTGTGTGTGTGTGTGTGTGTGTGTGGATGGGGGTGTGCTAACAATGGGTGGTAGTAGAATGAGCTGGGCAGGGTTCGGTGGCTCGACTAACACTATATGCTAGACAAACACTTGGATACGATGATGTGGCTTTTATACTCGTTCACAATGAAAAACAAGAGAATATTGGGTGCTTGACTGTTGAAACCAAATAGGGAATATATATATATATACAGTTAAGGTCATAAAAATATTAAGTTTATCAGAAACTTAGCTCAGATATTAATTTCATTGCATGCTCAACCTTCAGGATCTTTGATCCAAGAGTATGCGATCACAATCAAATTGCTTAGATTTGAATACAAACATTGCTTTTTCTTTACCATAAGCGGGTATTGCAAAGTCAGTTAAGCCCAATTATAATGCTCTAACGTTATATGCTTGCCGCAGCACAGCGCAGTGAATTTCTTGTTGGCATTGTCAATGTCAGGATGTTGGGTTTGAAGTGAAAACAATGGAATGGAATTGTTGCTGCAGTTTATTGTTATTGTTGTTGCTATTGCTGTTGGTGTTGCTATTTAACAATTGTTGCTAGTGGGTGGCATAGGCTGCTTTTAATTTTAATTACCCTTGGCAGCCGCTCTGGCTGCTATTTATGACTGCCGGCGCACTTCTATGGCGTCTGCTTATGTGGATGCATAAAATCCAATTGAAATTCCGATAAGAAAGTCAAGTCAACACGGACTTGATGTCATTACACTTTTACAAATTAATACCATTTTTATTCGGTATCTTGGGTGAACTACATTATTGGTGAACTGGATGAATTCTTTGCTTAAGAAATATAATAATATAAATATCTATCTATTTATATGTACATAATTATAGTTATATTTATTTATGTGCTCTACTATCATATAGCAACAATTAATTTTCTGTTGTGCATGATTGCTACATTTAGGAATTCTTGTATAAATATTCTTCTTTCGTTCGACATTCGCATATAATACTCACTTACATATATGTATACATACATAAGTCGCAGACAAGCTGCGTAGCTCGTTCAGTTCATGCAATCCAATCAATACTTTCAATCTATTAATCAAGGAATTATAGTTGCTTAATTTGTAAAATAAAAAATAAATAAAACATACCTTTTATACACGCATAGGAAGTAACAAACAAATTATTTAAGTTTGTACTATAGGAAGAAAATTGAATAAAGTTATTTTCGTCATCATTCTGCTGATATATAATTCAAACAGAATTTGGCTTTTATCGATTGTGCCTACAAATGTATTTATTTGTTGTCATTTTTGTTATCTCTCCATTTCGTTCTATTTCTTTTCTATATCTACTGCGTCACAGTTATTCATTCCCTTTTCATTAATGTCTTGTTCTTAATCTTATTTTGCTATTCTTCGAGGAATTCCTCTTTCGCTTCGCTTTCCTTATTAATTAAAGAGCTGTTGGCCTTACTGTCTGAAATCTTTTAAGACCTCATCCACTCAGAGCGTGAAATACTTTGCTTGCGTGACATCTTGACATCTAGACCCAAATGATGGCTCAGTCGCCTTTGACCAATCAGGAAATCATGACCTTGAGCGTGTTTTTCGCCAGAAAGAAAGAAAAGAACAAGTTTTGATTAGGATGGAGATAAGGCGGATGTTGTTGACATTTTCTGAAAATCTTTTATCTACATACGAGAGCATCTATTACAATATTTATGTATGTCTATAAACCAATGTAGTACAATTAATGACAATATTCAAAGTTTTCTTTTTTAATATTTAATTTGAACATCATGTTATGATATATTATATATAATATCATTCATTCATAATCTATTCATTTTAATTATTATTAAAATTATTAAATAGTTTTAGTAGTGTTGCCAAGGTTACAAAGATTACATTTACAATTGTAAACATAGTTATATATGTACATATGTATATACTTTATTATTATATACATAATGTATATATGTATATGTATGTATGAATTGCAATAATACATCATGACACATCACGAATATTGATAATTATTATAATAACGAGTTACATTATGATAATGATCATTTATAACTAATACAATATTATAATTATTATAACAACAAACAAAACAAGTAAAAAGGCTCTAGTGGAGACTGCTCGACTAGGAGATACCCTGAACCCTCCAACCTGATATTCTAATCATTTTACACATACATACACATGCTTCCAGACGGACGCATAAGTCCACGCCCTGCTAACCGCAGTGTGGGCAATAGAATGAGAATTTATTTGTTGAATATTTTCTTTTGTAGACATAAAATCTTAATTAAACTTTCTGGACGTAATCATAACGTTAAATGTGTGTATATCCTGAGGCACTAATATCTAGTACTTGAGATACGAAATTTGGAGTAAGGGGGCGTGGTATCCCCAATCTGTGAATCGCAAAATATATATATTCATCATGTGTATATACACAGTCAATCTAAAGTTTCCAGGTCTAATAGTATTCAAATGAGGCTGAAAAAAACAAAATCAATTTTTCCATTATTCTCGATAAAAAAGTTATCAGATCATTTATCGAAAAAATAGGACAAACTTGCACTGCGTATGGTATACACGAGTATGCATGAAATCTAAGCGTTCATGCGAACGGACGGACGGACAGACGGACAGGACTCATCTCATCGCCCTGATCAAGAATATATATACTTTATAGGGTCTGCGATGATTCATTCTGCCTGCTACATACTTTTCACAAAACCATTATGGCCTGATTTCCCATTTTCAATGGGTTCAGGGTATTAAAAGAAGTGGAAATATAACAAATATGGCGTCGCATGTGAAAACAAGCACTACTAGTATAAGCATGCACTGTGCGGAAAAGAGGGAGCTTTAGCTGTACCGCATCTTGCCATAAACTTCTTGCCACACTTCTCCAATAATTTGTTGGTTTTTTTCAAAGGGCGGCTATGCCAAGAGTATCCAAGATCGCATTACGATGCCTATGCACCTCTGGTAGATCAGTGCCTTCGGAGCGACTTGTGTCGACAATAAACTGTATTGACAGCGACTCAAAAGTCGTCTGACGGATTCTCATATCACAGAACGCGTTTTTTGAAGTCTTTGAGTACCGAATATTAGAGCATTATTCATTTTATTAAAAAACGCTTATTCTTATTATTTCTGTTTTTTGAGACGGATTATAAATTTATTGTGGGAATATCATGCTTCAGGCTCGCTGACTGCTGCTGACTGCAACGGAATCTCGCCTATTTATAGCGCAGTTCTAGTGGATTTATTAATTATTTATTAAGAATGAAATTAAGCTAAAAAATGCAATGCATAATTATTATTGTAAATTCAATAAAAACAAGTAAAAAAAAGTCGAAACACCGTTTTTCTGGAATTCATGCAGCACTCTAGTACATACGTACATATGTAATAAGACCAGCCTTATGCTAAACTAATAGTCGCTCTGAAGAGCAACGCTTTTATTTTAAATATTGGAGCAGAGGGCTCAACTGTTTTCCCTCTTGACCAATGTGTGTGGTGCTATGTCAGCAATGTTGTCTACAATGTTGGCCTTGAGTATTGGGCTCGTTAGCGCCAATGAATTATTGAAAGATATAAGAAAATTCACGATCAAAAGGCATATTTTGTTGAATATTTAAATGCCTAAATCACATCGATAGCTTAAGTTAAGTATTGAAATTGCAAAATGATACAAACACCAATATATTAATATCAATCAGATAATTTATAAACAATAATTCCCGTTACTGTGGGCTTATCAAAGCTCTATTCAATCTAAATAAGTTGCCCAATTCGCAGCAATCAAATTGCGGTGATAAATTTTAAATATGTTTCTAACGTTGACCTTTTCTATTGTATAATTTTAGCTGGATAAATAGGCCAGCAAGTGGAGAAAACAGCAAAACGGAACAATTTCATGTAATAAATCTGTAGATTGCATGAAATTAATAGCGAAATACAACCGCACTCACACATCCACACACGCACACGTATAAATAGTGCATGCAACGCATTTTTTTGGGTCATATGCAGGCTGTGGTGCGGTGGTGGGTGGCGGATAGTGGATAGTGGATAACAACGCCCCATCATAACCATACAAATAATAACGATGATGATGATGACGAGGATGTTGTTGCTGCTGCTGCTGATGATGATGACCACAACAACACGAGCACTTCTGGTATGAGAGCGAATTATATAAAATTATCATGCAGCGCAGGCAGCGGCCAACTTGGCCACTCGAATTCAACAAAAACGAGGCTAAACTTCAACTGCATACGTGGCGCTGCGTGCGGACTGCATGACGTATACGTGATATACGTATAACGTATACGTAATTGGCGCTGTGGCCAATTGCCAAAAAGCGGCCCAGGAACAAAACGAACAAAATCTGAAGCCAAAAGCAAAAGCATAAAGCAAACAACGTGAGCAACAACTTAACTCAACTCAAATCAGACGTGCGACAACTGTGACTGTGACAAGAGAAAAGAACAAATAGCACCACACACAAGTCAAGTGCAATCGAGTCATAGTAGGCGTGGTCGCTGCAAATGACGAAAGTTTTGAAAGTGTTGAAAATATGTTGAGGCAGCTGCCGCAAGATGAGAAAATGGCGAAGTTAACATTGCACCGTCTACTGCAGCGTTTGCAGCTGACGGCGCTGCAGTTGGCCAACGACACGCCCACTTTAATGCGACGACCTCAACTTAATAACAACAACAACAACAACAACAACAATAGAAACCGCATGGCTCTCTTAAGCTGGCTGCACTTGTGCCATGGCAATGGACACTACTACTTAACGCTGGCCGTGCTCATCTATGGTTATCTAATGCTGCACGCCTCAGCATCGTCAACAACTACGAACATGTCGGTCGAATCGAATCTAACAACAACAACAAAGACAACTAAAATAACAACAACAGAAATAAGTTTAGCCATAAGCGCAAAGAAATTAAAACGCGATGTTGCCCATGTGCCTGACGATGATTACGATGCCAGCTATCCAGATGACTTGGATGATATAGATGCCTTGATTAATAATAAGTCCGGTAAGTTTTATATACAAGTGCTTAAAAGATATATGGATATGGACAGATTGACAAATTGCAGATTAGTTAGATAAATGAAAATATAATATTGCATAACGTATGAAATCGAGCTAAATCCTTGAAAATAATTCAAGGAGCAGAGTAAGAATATATTTTTAGTTTAGAGCTATATAGAAACAACATATGTTTATAATATGTATGTATATCGCAAAATTAACTAATAACCTCAGAAATTTGATGAATTATGAATACTTCAACTAAAAACAAAATTGAAATATTGTTGATTTAAAAAAAGAAACAAAAGAAATTATGAAATAATGAAATAAATAAGGTAATTGTAGTTCGAGTAGATGCTTTCTATAAGCTGACCTCTAAAATGGACCAGCTGAATGTGCTCAAAAATAAATTGAATAAGCCGTTGAATCATTGCGGCGCTGTTAGGCAAACGAATAACCGACCTGGCCAAGAGCCGGCTAAATGGCACAGATAGAGTCATGGCAACAAGCTGGCAATCTCACGGTCTCACTGCGCTGTTACCAAAGGAGCTCAACAAAAGGCTGGGCAAGGCTAGGCTAGGCTAGGCTAGTCTGCAGCTGTTGTGCAATTTATGGGAATTATGATCTGTGGGGAATTAACTCGCCGACACAACACGGCTATAGCCATGTGTCTGTGTCTCTGTGTTTCTGTGTGTGTGCTGGCCCCAAACCTGGCCAATATTTTGGCAATGCAAACTGTTTCAAAGGTCAAGGGAAGGCCAACAGTACGTAATAAATATATTGTTAACCCCTCTATTTTGGCTGCAGATGCAGATGCAAATAAAGTGGCATCAAAATTATAATTAAATTTAATATTATGTTTCTAATAAATATGTTTATACCAAATTTTATATATCGAGTAGGTAAGTGGTATGGCTGTAGGTAGATAAATGAGAGCTTAGAATGAATGACAATGACAATGACAATGACAATGACAATGACAATGACAATGAC